TAGCCGTCCGCTGCTCTTCCCTCGTGTACAATGTCAGTACAATGTTTGCGTCTGAGATGGTAGCCTTTGTGATCCACTATGATTTCAGCTTCGCGGTCCGCGATGTTCCAGACGATCCTTTTGTCATCGAGTTCGGGGTGAGCTACTGTAGACTACATACAAGCAGGATTTCTTTAGCTGATGTGCCGCCCGATTTTGAAACGCTTCAAGCACACAACAGTGACCGTAAACCAGCGCCGAACTCAGTGGATGAGACCGCGAACTTCAACGCAGCTCTTCCCTCACATGTCCTACTCATCGCAACAGTCAACGTGAAAGCCGGCGGCATGTATGTAGGTAGAAGGGTGCTTCGCCTGCCCCCTCTAACGAGGGCCGGTCTCGCGAAATACCCGTAGGTAAAAATATGGAATGCTGTGTTGAAAGGTATGCACACTGCTGTGTAGTTGTTGAGGACCGGTGTGATGTAGGTAGGTCAAGGATCGGATAGATACTGCTACGCTCTACGATTAAGCAAAAGAAACATGGATAGATGCAGGTTCGCAGAGGTTCGCAGCCAGATATTGGAAAAAGTGACCGCTTGGTGATGGTGCGGGAAGTTGTTGCACGGCGCTGATCTCGGGGCAAACACCCACACGAGATGGCGGATCTGCGTCTTGGTGTGCCAAGAGTATCGGTTCTATGTGTAAGTCTGGCTGATGCTGTGGCTGTGTAGGGCTGCAGCAGCAATACAACAGCTGCAACATCAGACAGACGGCCTCAGAATCCAGTAAGCTGCGTTTGTGTGTTTCTCTTCCCATTTTCAGGAAGAGATGTTTTCCCGCTTGGCTCTACAGCAGCAGCAATGCTAAAGCAGCAGTCTCTGTCGGCTCTCACATGTAGAGATCTCAAATGTCGCATGTATGTCCATCTCTCATCCGGGATCTTTGAAGCTTTGTGGTATTTTCCTTTTCATTGTTCCGCTTCATTCTGTTCTCAGTTGTGCATTCACTGGTTTTGTGCCGCCTGCTGTCGGAAACCGGGCGAACCAGTCGGCGGTTACCTCAATCGATCTGGCGCGGTTAATGGACCAGACCGCCTCTCGGCGGGCCCGCTCATCATCTCCATCTAGAGCTACAACAATATACTGCAACACATGATGTTCATTTTTCACATGACGTGGCACTTTTTCTGACTCTCCGCACTCTTCGGGGTCTCGCCCGTTGACTAGCAGCTGATGACACCAGCATACTGTAGCAGTAGCTCGAACGATCTGGTCGGGTTGTTGCTCATCACTTTTCTCTCGCCGGGGCCGCTCATCTCAGTTGTGTCGCTCAAGTACGGTTGGCGCACCAGTCCGTACATTTGTTAAGGTCGAGCAATCGTGTTTCAACTCCACACTCCGCACTTTTTGGTAACTTCGCAGTCCGCGTGTATGCTCGATAAGGTGTACGGATATCTACTCAGTTGATACACGATGAACCACGCGACGAGTAGACGCCGGGCGCACTTCTGGCGGTGAGATCGAGGTCTATTGAGGGGGCGGCGAAAGCCGCCAGCACAGCCACTCTCCGTTCATCTATTTCATTTTGATGTTTGTCGAGTGATGCTGTATGACACGAATCGAGAATACAAACGCCCCCTCTCTTTCTGGACAGAGCCATGATTGTCAATAAATTGCTAGCTGCCACGAATGAATGTTGAATACCACTGATGATCGCCTATCTTGGAATCGATCCATTGAGCGGGGCGGCGAAAGCCGCCACACCCCTTGTAGGTAGATACATCCTACCTGGGCAACACATTCACACACACACACACACGTGAGTTGCAGTACGTTCCCCAAAAAGCGTTGTCTGACCGACAGAAAGAACACAAGTACTTTTATTTCTACTTCGGGACGAAAGTGTCCGTGTCCGTGCGGGAAGCTGTAGTCGCAGCACAGGCAGTGCACACCTCAGTGCGAGCTACTCGCGGGGCGCACTGTGCGTACATTTTTCCCGTCCGGGAGCCTCAGGAACAAATGAAAGACTGAGAGTTATGGGAGGTAGAGACTGCTGCCAGTTGTGAGCGAGGTAGAAAGACGCTTCCACATACAGTAGGGGGCCCGGTATAAGGCGATGGTGTGCGCGGTGAATATAACCGCCTTATATCGGGCAGCCGCCTTATTCATGAGTGAGGCTGTAAACCGCCTTATTCAGGGCAAAAATACAGAGGTTTACAGCGGTTATCACCTCGCGGCGCGTTGTTGAGTGGAAGATGGTCACGTGCACCATGTATGCATAGTTTGCGAACGTAATATCAGTGCTGCACGTCTGATAAAAAAGAAACTAGTGTGAGACATAACGCCTCGGGCGGGAAGCCATCCCCTGCTGAAACCCCTCGATTTCTTGCGGCGCAACAACTCAAGACCTCGCCTCCCACGGCCGGCTTCATAGGGCGCAGCAGGGCTGGGAGCGTCGATATTCCGGCTGAGATAGGTGAGGTAGCTAAATATATCTGTCAACCGTGCAGCTTTTGTGTTACAGTCGGGGCTAGTCCGTAGGGGTAGATTTCCGCTTTTTTTCTCAGGGCGTACCACCGTAGGACAACTCGGAAATCTCCGAGTAAGGGTCGGATGCGCTGCAGTCTCTCCACGAGTCTATCGTGTTGCAACGAAATGTCGCCAACATCATGCACTCAGGTACTGTTGACATCTTGTACAAAAGGTTTGGAGCGATTTGATCCGTCAGAAGATAAGCATGTTGAGATCAAATTTCAATATTGTTGCTCTATGCTGGAAAGATCCGAAACGCAGGTCTGCATACATGCACCGCAGCACAGCAGATTGGGTTGTCGTAAAGTAAACATACACTACACATGTCAAATTGCCGTGGAAATATCAGAAAGCACGCGGCGGGATACGCCCACTATCTGTCGGAGCAGGCTCCATGGTTTTTGGTGATCAAGAGAGGGTGGAAGCGACTTTTCTGAACCCNTTTCAATATTGTTGCTCTATGCTGGAAAGATCCGAAACGCAGGTCTGCATACATGCACCGCAGCACAGCAGATTGGGTTGTCGTAAAGTAAACATACACTACACATGTCAAATTGCCGTGGAAATATCAGAAAGCACGCGGCGGGATACGCCCACTATCTGTCGGAGCAGGCTCCATGGTTTTTGGTGATCAAGAGAGGGTGGAAGCGACTTTTCTGAACCCCAGACCACATCTAGAGAAGTTGACGTTCGAAACGAACTCATCTTTGTGGATGGTCCGCGGTACGTCGATACTTTACACGAACTAGACCCCCCCCCCCTGATTTGTATTATTTGGATTACTTTCGATACTCCTGAAACGTTTTGAGCAGTATCCCTCCAGGTACGAATATAGAATTGATTTTATGGTTAAATATGGAGACACACGCACCTGACTTTGGGATGGGATGCCATGAATGACTGTCTGAGTGTCATGGTATCAATTATCTATACACTACGGATAACGCCGAGTCATCTACTTCTTTTTTGTGCGCGTTACGATTTCAGGGTAACCTTGGCCTAGGACCTGTCCGTAGAGGGAGGATCGAGCCGACGCGCGATGAGACGTAGTAGGAGTAGCGGGCAGCGGGGGGGGGGGAGCGGCGACAATAGCCATACAGAGCAGACCGTGGCACCACCTGCGTGTCCTCGCCCTGAACCAAGACGTGGACGGACATGCAGTCCCGCTGAAGGAAAAGCGACACCAAGGAGGACGCGCCACCAACGTAGTCGCCCCCCACGAACTCCGTCAAATCCTGTTAATGGTAGCAGCGGGGGGGGGTCTACGGCTACTTGTCAACGGGGAGGCGGCCTGGACACCGCTTCCCCAGAGGCTACACCCGCAAGTACGCCTGCCGTCGCAACTAAGCGAGTGGCGGGATCCGGCGCGCATGGCCGAAATCCGGGAAGCCGTACAGGATCTGGTAGGAAACGCAGAAAGAGCGGACGCTGGGGCAGAGGCGGCAAGCCGTCTTTGAGGGGAGGATGGCAGACGAGGAGTACAGTGAGCAGCAAAAGGAGGCGAGGCAACATGCTAAGGTCCGCAGAGAGCGAGAGATTGCCGAAGCTGAACGTGAGAAGTTGGAGTCTGGAGGCAAGCGGACAGTTGAATTCCGGCGTCGAAGTTGCGGTGGAAAGCTTGGAACAGCTGGCTCTCGCTCCGTCAAGCGGAGTGCAGCGCGAAGACAGTCTGATCCTGGAGTTAGGAATACTCAGATCGGAGCCGAGAAAAAAACACGCAAGAAACCTTATAGGCGTGCGGAGTGCGGTTGGTTCACAAGCAACACGGGTCTTGAATGCAGCATGTGCCCCTCAGGCGTAGTGCACACCGTCACGGACAAGCTATGCTCCGCATGCCATAGGTCGCAGGGCTTAGCTGGCTTCACGCACCTCAGAGGGCCACGGCTTGAACGAGCGACACGGTTGTTTTTGGCCGAGTACCAAGAAGGAGGGGGGGAGCTGCCTCCACCTCTCGTGCGAGGATTTTATCCCAGCAACGACTGCATTTGCCACTGCCGAGATTGTTTCTACGGTTTTCTTCTCGAGAGGGAAGCAAAGCCGGAGCTCCGAACATGTAGCGTGTGCAAGAGAGGGTACCCTGTAAAGGACCAGAAGAGGTGGTACAGTGTGGACGTTGTGGACGATAACATAACGGAGGGTGGTGGACCAGGACGCACACAAGCTTGGTACTGCCAGGCCTGCAATCAGGCTCGAATCCGGGCCATCGGAGAAGCTACTCAAAAATGGGTTGCGGCATCGAGCAACTCGGGCCGACCTAAAGCCGATGAACCGGCTTTAGGTACCAAGCTTGTGTGCATCCTGGTCCACCACCCTCCGTTATTTTATCGTCCACAACGTCCACACTGTACCACCTCTTCTGGTCCTTCACAGGGCACCCTTTCTTGCACACGATACATGTTCGGAGCTCCGGCTTTGCTTCCCTCTCGAGAAGTTGGCGGAGAAGTACTGGGGAAAGAAGTTGGACAAGTGGCTCGTCACATCAGTCGACATGGACTTGTGGATGATCATCCTCTTGGCAATGAGCACCGGCAAAATCCCGCCTAATGGTATCGATAAGGTGGACGTTACCGTGCAGAGGATTGTTGGGGGAGCTGCGAAGTTCCTATGGGTCAACCGAGTGTACAACAAAATCGCCGACCTCAAGGACGGGAGCGAATCTGCGTGGCCGGCGGCAGACTTCCAAGGCTGGATTCCCACCGCTGACGAGAAGGTCCGCCTTTTCGTTCTGATCTACCTTCTGGCGGGCTGCGACTTCCTCCCTGCCATTTCCGGCCTGCCGTTTTACAAAGTGTGGATACTTGCTCTGAAAAGCGTGCGGGCTGAGGGCGTGTTCAACCGTTCCCTATTCGTGATGGAGGATGGGGTGTGGACGGTGGACATAGAGCAGAGCATCAAGTTGCTCGCGACCATTTTCTACTTCAGGTACGAGGCAGCATTTGCCGGTGTTGCAACCACTCCAGGCGATCTGCTCCGCAGCGTGAATGACAGCGTCAGGAACTACGTGGACCTCATCCGAGTGGCCATCGTCAAGCTTGGCAAGAAGAGGACGACAGACATCTGCCCAACTTATAGGTCGATGCGCGAGCAATGCCTGAGGATGAACTCTGTCGACGGGTACTGGCAGGATGGATTCAAAGACCACATGCCAGAACGAGACTTCAACGGAAAGGGTTGGGGTATCAACCCCAAGGCGAAGGGCAGCAACGCGTCAGCACTCACAGGAGAGAATTGCGTTATGTGGATGTCGGAGCATTCTTACATCGGTCCCGATGGGAAGATGGTCACGATGACGTGCGGTTGCGACCCGGTGAAGGCCTTAAAGCATAACTGTAGGGGGTGCGGGTGCAAAGGGCGCAAGTGCTCCCTCGCTTGCGGCTGCAGGGCCGTTGCCATTTGGCTCGCAAGCCTGTACCCAGTGCACCGACCGGCCAAGCCATGTACTCCGGTCCTGCCGGTGCTGCACACTCCGCAGTCGTTGCCAGCGCCATGACGGCTCTTCTGGCGTCCCGGAACGCTAGAACGGACGAGGAAGAGGAAGACCCGGACGATCCCGGTTCGGACGATGACGACACCGGCCGTTCGGACAGTGACTCGGACGATTTTCTGGAGCTGGAAGCGGAAGAGTCGGCTGACAGCGACTTGGACTCTGATGAGTCCGACCCTGAGTGGGGCGGTGTCGGTGGGGTCAATGCTCAGGGCGATGCAAACTCTGAGGGCGAAGCATGATTCTGACCGAGTTTCATCAGGTGTGTTTGGCCATCCTATCGCTGTTCATTTTTTTTCTTGTGCAGACATGTGCGAGTGTTGATGTCGCCTATATTTTGTTCGTCGCCTAGTGATCATGTTGGTGTATCGCGCCAGTGCCATACCGAGCCCACATAATGCGGTCTGCGTATCGTATTTCAGGTAACAAACTTCCGCGAGATGATTTCGTCCAATGGCGGCTCCCCCGTTCGGCGTTGGTCAGGACTTACTGGCTTCGACCCCCTGCCCCGGTTTCGAGCATGTTTCCGGGTGAAGCGGATATCGGCTGCGGCAACAATGGCGTTGGCGCAGGGTTTAGGCAGTGGCACGGCGGGGTTTCGGGAGTATTGATTATGTNACATGCCCGTGCGGGCCCCAACGGGGCATCCTGACGGCCGCAGCTGCTGCTGCGTGCGTGTGAGCCGTATTTATCTTACGTGACTTTGTTTGTCTTACGATGTTTGTGTATGGCGGCGCAACACTACAACACTGTAGGAGATAAAGTAACCGTTTTCAGTTCAAATATGGACGCACGCCATTTGCAATTACTTCACCTGTACTGCGTGTTGCACCAAAGTTCAAATTGCAGTAGAACCGCAAGCCTCACAGCAAGCCCATCCTGTGTCTCATACCACGAGTAGCGCGTCCAAAGATAAGCACGCTTGATCCGCGAAATACCTCTTTTTCCAAGCGATAAGTACCTCTCTCTGTCTCGGAAGCACTTCTGGACACAATACTCGATGTGTGTACTCCTCGTGTGATCGTTCGTAGTTGTGTAAAGTTTCGTGTCGATCGGTTAGGTATAGGGCACGTTCTCGTGTTAAGCTTGCCGCGCGTGCACACCACAGGAGGTTCGGCCGNCGTAGTTCACGAGTAGCGCGTCCAAAGATAAGCACGCTTGATCCGCGAAATACCTCTTTTTCCAAGCGATAAGTACCTCTCTCTGTCTCGGAAGCACTTCTGGACACAATACTCGATGTGTGTACTCCTCGTGTGATCGTTCGTAGTTGTGTAAAGTTTCGTGTCGATCGGTTAGGTATAGGGCACGTTCTCGTGTTAAGCTTGCCGCGCGTGCACACCACAGGAGGTTCGGCCGCAGCAGGGGCATGGATCACATTTTTTCGGCAGAGTCTCGGAGCCTCCGCCGAGCAGTTCTCGCGCTATCGTCAACGAAATTCCGTGAAACCAGCCATCCTGAATAGCTACTGGTCTATTTTAGTACGCCGACAAAGGTGGCAGTGCGGACGTCTGATCGCCGGTGGGCTAGCCAACTGCCATTTTTTGTGTTGAGCCGCTTATTTTATTTTTTTATCAGGCGTGCAGTACTGATATTTCAGCAGCGGCATGTACATCCGATTCCAGGACAAGCCCTCGTACATGCTCTTGGGTGCCAATGCGAGGAACAACGTCTCTGCTACCTTAGTGAAGAGCAAAACTTGACAGCCAACATAGACCCACCATGCAATGATTAAAAAGCTATTGTGTACCGAAGAAACACCTGTATTCTGCGTCCATGGCGCTTGGCCCCTGGGTATGGGTTAAGCACCATTTTCCCTGGCGCTTGTATCTCTGAAAACACATGCCCCTCTTTGAAACACACTTGCTCGATGTAAGACAACAGCTCAAACACAATTACCCAGGATCATTTCGGAAATTTTTCCGCGGCACTTTTCCCGCGGGAACTGCACGGGAATAGCAGTGGGCAACGTCTTCCCGTGATGATCCGCAGTTACAGTATCCGCCCAAACTATTGTCAAGTAAATAGCCTTCTCACATTACCATCCAACACAATTACGGCGGTGCATCGCCGTGCGGCGTTACCATCCAACGTTCCGTGCATGACGTGGTAGCTGGTTCCCGTAAGGAAATGCCGTGGTGGCCAGTTATCACCACCACCCCCGTATTACCGTGCAATACCGCGATGACCAGTTCCCATCCAGAAAATACGTGGATTACGGTGGTGGTCGATGGTTCCGTACCATCGTTTCTAAAGAGGATCGGTACCGAGAGGAGCCTTGAAATTTCTACAACCCATCCGTCTACAAGAGTATTTTCATATCCAGGTGGCACACGGGTTTACATGTGCCACGTGATAACTGCTATTGTTTTGATTCGGGCGTTGTATATGCATTCGCTCAGATGCTTCCCAGAAGGTGTACTCACGCGAAGATGATCATCGCCTTATATCGGGTTTGAGATAAGTAGATGCCGCATTACACAGGGCCTGACCGGGTATAAGGCGGTGGCCGCCTTGTACCTGGTCTGCGTTTTGGACGCAAATTTCGACCGCCTTATATCGGGTATACCGCCTTATTCACACCGCCGTATATCGCCCCCCCTACTGTATGCTATGTGACGTGCTTCTTCACTATGACCACAGCTGACAATGGCGTCATACAAACCCGGGGAGAGAACACGGGCGACCCCAAAAAAATGATTTCCAGAACAACATGCCGGCGGTCCATCGTAGGTGACTCTTGACACAGCTCACCGCATGGCGCGAGACTCCAGGGTCGCCCCCGCTACATCGTTTCCGTGAGGAGCCGAAAGGACACAAAGAACCGTGTTAACGTGTATTCCGAACATCAAATCGGAGGCACCACAGGGCAGCGGCCGCGAACGGCGACACGACCATGCTAGTAAGAGCGAAAAAAGCCAAGGTGCCGAAAGCGAATCAAAATCGGACCACACCGCAATCCTGCTCGTAGCTCACCGATCCTGATGATGAGAAACGTTTGAAAAATCACATACCGCTAGTCTGGAGTGTAGGATAATGGCTACAATCTCTGATACTAATATCATACACGAGGGGGGAGCAGCGGGCGGATAATTTGCGATGGAAGTTTCGCTGGGTTTTGACTTGGGAAAACTAGGATATGCAGACGTTTGCTCATTTTTTGAAGATGAAAACTGCGTATCCCAGCGCCCCTTTCAAGCGCTCACAAACAGCATGTACATCTGCCATAAAGAAGCTCCAATCGGTGGTCACACAGGAGTGTTGCTCTGCCTTCGTTGGACTTTGAATAAAGGAACCGTTGAAAGGAAAAGTCTAGAAGTGGGGCTCGATTGAGCACCAACTTCCCCCAAACCTCGTACACAGAAGGCCCCCACAAGTATGCATGCTGTAGCAAACAATTTGCGACGTCGATACGCAGAATGAAATCTTAGTTAGATTAATTACATTACGAACAAACAGAGCTCAAAGCTACCTCATTTTAGAACATCCCGCATGGGGATGTGTCCTATCGAAAAAATCTGCACCCGACGACGGATACACTGGCTGCAGGTTTATAGTGTACACGCGGTTCGCAAGAGGAGAGGCTTTGTTGTGCTGTACGCGCTCCACCTGCTTTAACCCCTGTGCCCCTCAGCTACGTGTCTCGAGGGCTGCACTGTTTCCATTTGCATGGTTGCGTAAATTCGTGGTGGGAGGTGTAGAGCGTAATGAATGCGTTTGGGGCACATTGTGCAACATGTGACTTCGATGTTTGTTTTTGATGAGGAGACAACGCTGGTTGAGGTTCTCTTAATCCTCGTGTACCCAACATCACCAAAAAAATCACCCGACAACAATGAGCACGTCGCTTCCTTAGTCGTGCCCGCATCCTCAAATGTTGGCTACACTCCACCCCACCTCTTTGTGTCAATTCGTGGAAACAAAGCGCGAACAAGGTTATCATTACGCCCTCCCAAATCTAGACGAACGAGATATTGATTGATGAACCAGCTCCCCACCCGAAGAGACTACCCTACATGGTGTAATTGGACGTTCGTTTGGTTCAGATGACCACGTTGCAAGACCTCTGAGTGACAATCACAACTCCCAGCAAAACCCGCCCTCCTGACATCAGCACCTTGGCGCTACCCCTTCCGTCGCCGCCATCGTCTGTACAACAGGCAGGCTGAGGAGACATGGCGACGACGAGAACCCAATTGGCGGGCACTTCGGAGAAGCTTCGGTTGGCGTTTTCTAGCCTTCAAGAGGTCGAGGAAGAAGTTGGAGCTCGCACGGCAGGTGTTGGTGCCCTCTCTCTGTCACAAGTAGCTGTAAGGGTGTCTCAAGCAGTCAGCATGGCGAAGGCGGAGGCAGTCAAGGTCATGAAGGCGGCAGACGCGGGAGAGGCGGCGGCCGTCAGAGTGGGTGAGGTGGTATCCGTGGCTCAAGTAGCGAGAGCGGTGGCTGCCTCAAAATCAGCAGCGGCGAAGGCGGCAGTCGAGGCAGCAGAGGCTGCACACGCTGCAGCGGCAGCCTTGGGAGCGGACATTGAGCCACCGGCGGGCATGGCGTATGCGTACGTTACTGCGCTTGTTTGATGTCGAGTAGATGCTGAAAACGTAACGTACGCGCTTGGCCGGTGCTGCCTGTTTCTTCATCAAGTCGAGTCCTTCCTGGATCGTGTATTCAGAGTTCGAGCTTGGAGTTTGACGTTGAGAAATGTTTCGCACTGGCGGCCTGGTCGGGGTTTGAGGCTCTTGGACATGGTGCTGTAGTGCCGACAGCGCATTGCTGCGGTTATTATCGTGTACAACTGATGTTGGCCCTTGCACCACCACGTTGCTCCCATTGTTTTCACGACGTCATTCAGGAGAATGCCGAGTGGCAGCAACAGCAGCAGTGAGACGAAAGGTGGGTCGAGGGCTTGGCGACAACCAAGAATGGCCTGGGTGGTGTGGCGGGGTGTCACCCGCTAGATGGTTGATGATGATGTACCTGGCTGCGTGCGGCTAGCATGTCCGGCCACAGCACCTGCATAACCCCGCTCCTAATATCGTGGCAACATCGTGTCGATGTTCGTGTTTTGCGCCAACTTTGGCACTCAGGCACAACGTCATCTT